TTTGCTCCCTGGGTAATTTGCTGCTCTGTTTTCTGCTCCCTGCTCAACCTGCTAATTTGCCTTCTGCTCCGTCTCTGAACTGCCATGTGTCAAACATGAAGGCTTCCCATGCCACTTGTAGCACCCATGCCACTTGTTGGCCACTCCTGCTCTTATACTGTTTCTCCTGTCTTAGTATTTTTATGTCCTTAGACTACTATTCTAAAAACACTTGCCCATACCTAGTTCAGTCTGTTGCTGGTCGTAGATATGTAAAGTTTCAATAAATGTTTGCAAGACTAGGTCTTCAGCTTGTAAATTCTTTGGATTACAGACCTCACAAGATCCCAGTCATGGTCAAAGCTTTTGGGCTATATTGCAACAATACAAATACAAACTCATGCACTAGCCAAAATGGGGAATAAGCTGCAAAAACACAAAGAAACATCTATGTTTAAGCAACACTGACCCACAGATTCTATGAGGGGAAAACTTCTTAAATAGTAACATAAAATAAATCCATCTTACCATAAATTCCTGTTGAAATACAGGGGAATGCCTGTAAAACACAAACAAATAAATAAGTGGATTTTTGTTTTTCAAATGCTTATCAAAACTAAGAATATTTTAAATGCCTACTTATTACCATTACAAGATGCAATATCCAAGTCTGGACAAGAGAACTATACCAGAGATCAATATTTTAATACACACTATAGGAACTGAGAAACACAATCTATGGATGGTCCTTGTCGTCACTGCTAATGCTAGCTTTCTCCTCAGTGGCTGCATCTATACACATGCTTAACTGTGAGTAGACTAATTAGCTGTGAAGTAAGCATCGTTGTCTACACGTGTACATATTTCACTGTTAGGGCGGCTAGGATCTGGAACCAACTTCCTAGGGAAGTGGTCCTCGCTCCTACCTTGGGTAAATTCAAAAGGAAGTTGGACGAACACCTGTCTGGGGTCATGTGATCCCAGCGTGTGCTCCTGCCAGTGGCGGGGGGTCAGACTAGATCATCTGTTCAGGTCCCTTCTGACCCCAAACTACTATGAAACTATGAAACCATAAAATAGTACGGCTGAGGACAGTACTATCTTACTGTGGGGTAATTAACTGTGATTAAGTGCATGTGTAGACACTGATTGCAGGCATACATTGTGCCCAGGCAGCCGGTAGCCAGACTCCTGCCTGCCACCTAGCCACACAACTCCGTAGTTTCAGCACCCTCATTCCCCAGGCAGTCCCTTTGCTGCCTGATGCCACCACCCAGAGCCTGACCTGATCCCCAATGCTCCCTGCCAGCCTGGTCCGAGCAGGGCAGGAGTGGCTCTGGCATAAACTGTTCCACCCCAGCTCAAATTGCTACTGTCCTGGGTGCACATGTAGATGCTGTGCCTGGGTGTAGTTTACTTCAGCTCAAACTGCTCCAGAGTCTAATGCTTTGAAATCATTATACATGTAGATGCATCCAATGGGCACATCTACACTAAATGTTTACTATGGAGTAGACTAATCAGCTCCTCAGTAAATGTCTTGCATCTATACCTGTGCCCCTATTAGGGCACAGGAAACTAATCAACTCTGCAGCAGGGTAGTACTTGTAAATACAAGTACTACCCTGCTGCGGAGTTTTTAACTCCGTAACACAACACATGCAGATGCTGATGGGGCTGGCTGAGGCATGAAGGTACTTCAATGCAGAAGCTAGCCCCACACTGGACGGAGCACCCTCGTGCCCCAGCCAGCCCCACTGCAGCACACTGAGCCAGGTCGGAGCAGCCCCAGGCTGGCAGGCTGACCCCCTGGGTCCTTTGCCAGCCGGGGCTGCTCCAACCCAGCTTCACATGCTCTGGTGCCAGGTACACATGTAAACACAGCACCCAGTAGTAATCAATTCTGGTGTACTAAGTACTAGAATATATTGCTTCGCTTTAATAGCATGTGTTGATGCACCCAGTGAGAAGTAGAGTAATGCTAACAGCATTCTAGCTAGTCTTAAGCATGTTATTTAGAAATGGGCGGCGATGAACCTGACAGAACATTGTTTTAAGTTCACTTTTGTCAATTAAGGAAACTATAAGCAGCACTAGAAACAAACCATCCAAATATTCACAGGGAAGGAGGACCCCAAAACCAGCAGGTAGACAGGATGGATTAGCAGAACAATCACTGCCAGATGCATAGACTTTGTAGTGGCTGCAAGAAAAGGGAAGGGCAGAGTATCGGATTCCAGCCAGACTTGTGGTATTTTATTTACTTTACAGAGTGCAAACTGGGGAGAAAAAAACTAGCTTTGCCTCCAGAAAACTGGGTTGGATGATAAAAATAAAAGCAGACATCTATTACCTATGGAATAATGTGAGGGGGAAGCTAGTAAGAAGATTATTCTAGTTAGGTAAGAGATTGTGATAAAAGATTCTATGATATTGCGCTGAGATCACCAAAAGACCCACCTTCACTAAAAGTAATGAAAGTGTCCCCAAAACAATGTTATGATCTCACATCTCATAGGTATATTGCTTTAAGGAACAAATGGATGTAGTTTATCTAACCTTTTTTATAATCTCTAGTGATTATAAAAGTGAAAGAATTAGCAAAATGTTTGGACGATGCAGGCATGATGGTCCAGAAAAATGCAGGATGTTTGTGGGTGATTTTTTTTTTTTCTGGACCAACAGTATAGCTGAGAGGGTCACGTAAAAATTTGTGGTTACCATTATATCCTTCCACAGAAACTCAAGATAAAAAAGGAATTTTAGCAAATGTCTACCAATAATCTAAAATCAAAACCTAGAATTGTTATAAAAACAATGATCTGTATTAATCATCTGGGTTGATGGCCCCTTAATACATAGATGAAGGGCAGCTGTATCAGAGGAAAAATGCATTTTTTTAGAGCTCAACACTACTATTCTCTAAAAATTCAGAGAGGAAATTAAATAAATCATGATCAGTGTTTGATTTCAGGAAGCAGGTGACTGGCTTGTGGACTTCAGACATCCCATTTTCTTCTCTTACAATATACTGTTATCAGAACATCTGGGAATTTTGCAGCATGTTGTTCTTGTAAGCCATACGCAACAGACATCCACTGTTGCCAACAATTTGTTTTCTCCAGGAACAATTTTACATATAAACAAAAGATTTAGTATTAACTCTTCCTCCCCTTCCCCCACATCTGGCTTTCAGAGTTATGTGCAGCTCAAGGAATTTCAACGTATTTTACATAAAAAATATCAAAACCTTAGCAAAGAGCAAGAAATGTCATAGATTTGCTTTCAGGCGAAACAGATAAACACATAAATAAAGCAAAAATCCACATATTCAACAGGACCCTCTATCCCATCAATTGAGCTGTGATGCATAATTAAAGTTTTATAACAATGATGTACCATAGCAACGGCACAGCAATTAGAGATGGAGGGAAGTAAACAGCAAAGAAATAGTAAAGCCACACATAAATCAAGGGGTTTATGTGCAAGGTGAATCAAAAATGTGTATTCATCCTGAGTAAGACTGTGACAGGTGGAATACAAGCTCACCTATCACATGTTCCAGCATATTGGGCAGGATGGATGAGGAGCTGAGGAACAGGGGCAGCCTTGTGGTAACCACTGTCCAGACCATAATTCAGCACTGAGACTGGGAGTTATAGACAAACATTTGCAAGCATGTGAGCCAAAAGTGAACTATCAAAAGGTACTAGTACCTTAAAATACCCTCTGACCCTTTAAAGTTAAATAGCAAATTAGTAAAACGCAGATAAGTTCTGACTCCTGAGGTAACTAACCTACAGTTCCCTTTTTGATTTAGATGCTTTGTGAATGCCTACATAACTATTCTACTTTGTACAGAAAAGTATTGTATCTTATCTTGTCAGAAACAGGTTGATATATTGTCTGAGATTATGTGCATGCTACAAACTGAAACCTACCATCACCACTGCAGAAATAATCAATAGGAACTTAAACTGGAATCAAAGTCATAGAATCATAGAAAATAAGGATAAAAAGGACCTCACAAGGGATCTAGTCCCATCCTCCAAAGGCAAGATAGGCTATGCCTAAACAACTTCTGGAAGATACCTGTCCATCCTGTTCCTAAATGCTTCCAGTAATGACTGTCCTCGGCAACCAACTTTCCTTCCACTGAAAACGTTTTTCCTGATATCCAACCTAACTCTCCCTTGTTGTAACTCTCCCTGCTACTTCTTGTCCTAGCCCTAATAGACGTGGAGAAAAAAATTACTGTATTTACTCATATATAAGATGACCCTCTGAATATAAGATGAACCCTGCCCCCTCGCCCCCCATGATAATTAAATTCTATGTATGAAAAATGTATAAATTTGTTATAATTTTCCAGGTATAGAATCTAATTATTGGAAGCCTGCCTTGAAATTGTCCCCATCCCAGTGCTACAGCAGGGAAAATAAATCTAGGGTGCCAGTTGGGCCCTTTACCCTCTGCCCCCAACTTCTTTTCCCTGAAGCCCCCTCCCCCCCACACTCACCCCTTTACTGTCAGACCCTGCACTCTCTGAGCACATGAAAGAGAGGAACACATTTGAAAAGACTGACTTTGAAATAAACATGCCTGTAATAATTCACATATAGGCTAATTACTATGGGTACCTATAGAGTTAGTTCAACCCGAAGGGATGCATTTTTATCTTTTTTGAAACTGCTGCATGTTTTAGTTCAGGTACTCCATAAACAGGCTTTTAAGCAACACTTTGTACCAACTCATATGTAGTACAAACTATGCATGATATTAGGCCAATCCTATTACTACTGGGAACAACCATTCCTGAGAAAAATAATGGCATCATATGAGCAAGATACATTGTTTCAAAGAGATGTTGTCAGTCTCTTAAAGTGCCTTAATTTGCATGCAAAACAAATCAGTAACCCTTCCAGCTTAGAAAGTTATGACAATTTCTCTCAGATTTATCCTTCTTGATCCAAGCGTGTGTGAGAGATGCTCCCTACTTGAAATGCAGTCGTTCACCTTCAAGGATAAGGCAGCCAGCATTTCCCTTGCTTTTCTCTCCAGTATCCAGCTTTATTATATGCTCTCTAAGGGCACTTACACACATGCAGGGAAGCCACTTCAACGCGCTGTACATCTGGTGCAAAAATTAATGCTCTCCAGCAGCCTCCAGCATCACATATATCAGCATCCCCACATTAAACAATGGTGTTGGGGTGCTTTGAACTAAAGCTCATTGAATGAGCTTTAGTTCAAAGCTCCTTGCTACCATTTTTGCAGCATGGGGACACTGATACACGGGATGCTCAGTCACTTTTAATTAGTGTGGGCGTGCTAATTAAAGTTCCCCGCCCTCTGCCTGATGAAACATATCTATAAATGCCACAAGTCTCCAACTGAGCCCTTCCAAATCAGTATATTTTCTAGGCATCATATTCTTATCTCCAACCCAAGCAGCAATACTCACATTCTAGGACTGCACCAGTCATCTCCAAGCTGCACGAATATTGAACTCCTTCAACACCCTTTTCTGGGTATTATTTTTTATGGACTTTCAAGCCC